CCCCGTGTGACCCCGGTGTGACCCCGTGTGACCCCAGTGACCCCGGTGTGACCCCAGTGTCCCCGTGTGACCCCAGTGACCCCAGTGACCCCGCTGTCCCGTGTCCCCAGGTGAAGCTGGATTTCGTGGCCCCAGCAGCGGGCACCCAGCACTACACCCTGTTCTTCATGAGCGACGCCTACATGGGCTGTGACCAGGAGTACAAATTCAGTGTGGACGTCAAGGAGGCCGAGAGTGACTCTGACTCTGACTGAGACACAGCCCACTGAATCCCACTGAATCCCAGAGAATCCCAGAGAATCCCACTGAACCCCAGAGAATCCCACTGAATCCCAGAGAATCCCACTGAATCCCAGAGAGTCCCACTGAATCCCAGAGAATCCCAGAGAATCCCACTGAATCCCAGAGAATCCCACTGAATCCCAGAGAATCCCAGAGAGTCCCACTGAATCCCAGAGAGTCCCACTGAATCCCAGCAAAATCCCAACAAAAAACCAAAAAAACCCATAAAAATCCCAGCAAAATCCCAACAAATCCCATAAAAATTTCAGCAAAAACCCCATAAAAATCCCAGCAAAACCCCAACAAATCCCAGCAAAATTCCACAAAAAACCCCATGAAAATCCCCAAAAATCCCGCAAGAAATGCAAAAAACATCCCTCAAGAAATGAAGAAAACCCCACCTAAATACTGTAAAATTCCATCAATATCCTGTAAAATACCAGCAAAATCCCATTAAAAATGCAAAAAACCCCACCCAAATACCCTAAAGTCCCACAAAATCCCATCAACATCCTGTAAAAATCCCATCAAAATCCCACAGCATCCCAGAAAAATCCCCTGAAAAACCCCACCCAAATACTGTGAAGTCCTACAAAATCCCATCAAGTCCCAGGAAAATCCCATAAATGCCCCCAGATCCCCTCCCTGTGTTCTTGTTGGTTGTTAGGGTTTGGATGTTTTGTACAGAGTTTTTTTTTAGGCTGGAATAAAAACTTCAGGATCTAAGTCGGCTGTGGTGCTGGATCCCAAATTCCTGAAACCCAAAATTCCTGGACCCCAAACTTCTGGACCCCAAACTCCCCGATCCCAAAGCCCTGGATCCCAAATTCCCAGACCCCAAATTCCCAGATCCCAAACCCAGGATCCCAAATTCCCCGGCCCCAAATTCCTGAAATCCCAAACCCCGGATCCCAAATTCCTGAAATCCCAAACCCAGGAATCCCGAACCCCTGGAATCCCAAGCCCCAGGATCCCAAATTCCCCCACCCCAAATTCCCGGAGTCCCACACCCGGATCCCAAATTCCCGGAGTCCCACACCCGGATCCCGAATTCCCCCAGCCCGAGCTCCTCGGGGCCAGGCAGGTCGGGGCCGTTTTCCCAGGAAATCCTTGGATTTATTGGCTTTGGGCCAGGAAGTCCCGCAGGGATCCCGGGACCCCAAACCCCATCCCGACCCCACAGCCCCAACTGGGGACGGGCTGGG